CATTTTTATTTTCCATCGGTATATTGAATCTACACATTACTAAAGTCAAACTTTCAACATTTAATTTTTTTATTTCATTCGACACTTATTTACTACAATTACACTATTTTTATTATATTACTACCTCCGTCCCACATAATTTATCTCTATTTTCTATTTATTTTCGTTCCATATAATTTATCCTTTCTTTTTTTTTTAAATATAATTATACACTTTAATTACATTTTAAATTTTATAATTTTTCTAATGTTAATTAAACTATTTAGTTATTTTAATCTTAATTTATAATTATTTTTACTAATACACTTCTTAATTACTTACTAATCATATTTTACTTAAATTTTCGTGTCTACAGTAACACACCCAAATTATATGGGACGCATGAAGTAATATTTATTTGTTCTTTTTAGTTATAATTAAAAAATTTAAAAATATCTCTAATTATTTTTTTTATTTTTTATCAATATTTAATAGAATATTAATTATTCGATAATTTTTGTACCTGATCACTATCATCTATACTTAGCACAATAACTTCCACGTTAATTTTCTTACCCCTAAAGTCTGATTACCAAAGCATTACAGAAACCAACAAATCAGCATAATTAAAATTCTTATATTTGTATATTATTTTATACAAATGTCATTATAACATATTATAAGACACTAATAAAAAATATATTTTTGGTATTTTTTTTAATTTGTACTATTTTTTATATAATAATTAATATTTAAATATCAACGTCGCAAAAAATAAATGACATCCTTAGACCCCTAAGGGTGTGTTTGTTTGGGGGTTTGGATTTTGAGTTGGGATTTAAAAAGTAAAAATTCTGAATTTGAATAGTTGTATGATGTGATATAAATAGGTGTTTGATGTGATGTTTTGAATGTAAAATTAATTTTTAGTATAATATAAAAAATAAAAAATAGATGTTTGATTTGATATTTTTGGAATAAAAAAATAAAATGAACAGCGAATTTAGGGAATTTTACTAAAAAATTACTTCGGGTCAAAAATTGAAATGAAAAAATATAAATAAAAAAAAGGCTCTCACACACGCATAAGCGAACCCTATATTTTATAATATTCAACATTAAAATTCCAAATAAAATATTTTCCAGTCAGAATGTGAGAAAATTTTAATGGTCAATAATCAGAATTATTACAAAAGATCAAGACCAATTTTTATTTCCCATGTGAATTTGGCATTTAAAAATATATGTTTGAATATCACGAATTATATCTTTAAAATTATAAAAATAATAAAAAAAAATAAAATTGTTCAAGAAATATATACTCCCTCCGTCCCACATAATTTGTCCATATTTTCTATTTTCGTCCGTCCCACATAATTTGTCCTTTTTTTTTTGAAAAATTAATTATACACTTTAATCATATTTTAAAATTTAAAATTTAAATTTTTTTTAATCTTAATTAAACTATCTAGTTATCTTAATCTTAATCTATAATTATTTTTACTAATATATTTTTTAATTATTTACTAATTATACTTTACCTAAATTACCGTATCTACAGTAATACACTCATATTACATGGGACGGAGGGAGCTTTTATATTCTTACTTTTTTAGCAATTTTAATTGTTCCATTACTATGTAATTTTCTTCAAACTTTTCAAGAAAAATATAATAAATTATTACCTTTTATAGAATATTATAACAAAACAATATTCAAATAATATAAAATACAAACTAAATACACTCTTAGATAAACATATATATATATAATTATTTAAATATATTAAATTTTTTTACATGACTAATTCAATTCCTAATTCATAAATAACCTGATTTTATATACATATTGCAGTCAGCAAGTATCAAAAATCAAAAAATTCAAAATTTCTTCACTTAATTAAATCTACACTATATATATTCTACCAATGTTACAAATACATTTTCCATGTTACAATATATTTGGAAATTTTATATTTGTATTAAAAAAATATTGAGAGATATATATTTTATATGTGTATTACTATATATTAAATTAGATAACTACTATTTTATCATATATTGAATTTTTTTAATTATTATTTATTTATATTGATTTTGTAATTAGAAGAATATAAGTACAAATCTCTTAAATAAGTTATGGCTAGTACCATAATTATAAGATATGTAAATGTAGTCCAGTAAGGGATGGTCTAGCGGTGCAGGAGTTGGACATATGACTATGAGGCCATGGGTTTAAACCCCCGACGCCTCAGATCACCTGCCACACATGGTTCGGCTAGTCACCTAGTGCGCACTTTCGGGTAGCGGCTGCGGGTTCCCACAATCAACATCGTAACCGTCCCGTGTATATATAAATGCATATGCATTATCCACTGTAAGAAAAAATCATTTTTGTAACAAAACGTTTTTGTCTTTAAATCTATTTTTTTTCGTTACTAATGACATTAGAGACGGAATTAGGAATAGAATTACGTTAGCTACGTGAACTTTATGGACGGAATTTCGTTACAAATATATTATTTTTTTGAAGTGATCATATATTCTCCTAATAATAATTTTATTGTGTTCTTTTGTAATATTGATTTTTTATATTAACAATAGTTTGAATATAGTACTCTTTTTGGGAAAAATATATATATATATAATTACAAGCATATGTAATACTTCCTCTGTCCCAAAATAGTTGACTTATTTTTCTATTTTCATATCTCTCAAAACAATTGTTATGTTTCTTATCTAGTAACTGTGGTTCCCACTTTATGAAAATATTATTTCTACTTTTTCAAAATTACCCCAATTATTATTGTAACTCATTTTTTAAAACCCTCCAACAAGAAGGGTATTTTAGATATTTACATTCTACTTTTTACCTACTTTAACCAAATATTATATTAAAAAATAAAAATTTTGAGTTCCCAATTTTCCTCATCCAAATCAAATTTTAATCAATTATTCTACAGATAATACTGAATCAAAATTACTTACTACATATATACATATTAAAGAATAACAGTCAAAATTCTAAAACCAATAAAAAATCAAACAAACAAAACCTACATAACGACGTTATTACTATGTCAACAACATAGACAAGTACCGTTTTCACATGAACAATTAATATTTATTTATTACGAACTCTTCCCCGTCAACGGTCAAATCCCTGTGCATGAATAATTCCAAGTCATAAATAATACTAATAATCTCCATGCACTCACAAACACGCTCTATATATACATACATATATATATATATACATATACAGCAGCATACACCAACCTTCATCATTAATTCCTCGTCTAGCATTAATTGCAGATATTAATTAGCAATCGATTTTATGGCGGCGTCATTAAAGCTGATCACGGCACTGTCCGTACTGATTTTCCTGATGACCGTTAACGAAGGCACGCGCGTTCTGCGTGACGAGACGGTTTTTCTGCTGCTCCCGAGTTTGCCCAAGGGGGGCCCCACCGGTCCGCCGTCGCCGAGCGGCTGCACGTGGATTCCCGGCGGCGGCGGGCCCCCCTGCACCGCCGCCGCGGCCTCCGTCGCCGAGCGCCACTACGCTGAAATGACGTCAGCTCGCCGTCCTCCACCGCCTCCGCCACCGCCACCGCCAGCAGCAGCGGAAATGGCGGCGGGTGTATAATGACGAATATTCGTTCTTTAATTAATTAGCCGTTATTGATTATTTGACACGAAATTTTATTTTTTTTATGAATTAACGATGTGGATAAAAAATAACAATAATGATAATTGTAAGTTATTTGATTGATCAATTCTTTTGATTTTAGTTAGATTAAATGTGAATAGATGATTGTTGGATGTAATAAATGTTTTGCAGTGGTGTGTGTAATAAAATTTAAAAATCGTGTTCTTTATATATTATGTCGGGATGTATAATTAATAGTTGCGTTTTTCTAATTCACGAGTTCAAATTTCGCATACCTTCATTTATTAATTTATTAAGTAATATGTTGAATTAATTATGGTAATTGATAATCCTAATTTAGTAAGAATAATTTAATTAGATTAATTAAGATGTTGTGATTAAGAGGGTGTTTGAAAAATAGTTTTTGAAGAGCTTTTAGTTTATTAATAGCGTTTGGTAAATTAGCTATACTTTTTGACTCATCTACCTAACGTTTTCAAAGAATTTTTTATTTTAATTTTGATTATTCCTTATTTACCCTTAAAATTTAATTTTGATTATTCCTTATTTCTTATTATATACATATAAATATATTTTTATAACAATATTTATTAATTATTTTTAATATATTAATATTATTAAATTATATTTTTATTTTTGTAAATTTAAAATAATTACTATTATTAATTATTACATATAAATTAATTTATTCGTAAAATATATAAATTTTTAAAACTAAATCAAATAGGAAAAATAAAGGTTATTAATTTATTTATATATATTAAAATAATAATTAATATAATAAAAATATATATACGAAAGATTTATTATTTTATATTTTACATAATTTCAATAAAAAAATATTATTTTTTAGTAAAATTCATTTTCTCATATCTAAATAATAAAAATAAAAATAAATATTTTATAATTTTCAATAATTAATAACAAAAATTCTCATAAATTTCAAATCAAAATGAACAAAATTAAATATTTTAAAAAATAACATATTAATGTCTTTAATAGTCATTTTATGTATAGACAGCTAATGTCAAACAATTGTTTTACCGAACATTTGAATACAAACCGCTAATTGAATAAGAAGCTATCAGCTAATTGCCAAATCATACCCTAAATAAAAAAGTTCATACACACCCCCGAACCCCAAGTTATATCAGCACATTAGCCCCACCGTGTGTATATATATATATATTTTATACCAAATTAATTGTGTTATATAAACTATTACTATTGTGAGTGTATGTATTATATATTAATATAATCTTATATTTAGATCAAATAGGACGTTTATTATTTGTACTATTACTATGTTTGATTATTACCCCTAACACATCAGCGCTCTAAAATAGGACTTCAACAAAAATTCAAAACATGTAATAACATACTCATAAAAAAGCTCTGTAAAATCACTAATGTCATATTTTTTTGCCTCCAACAATTGGGATGGTCCTCTGCCTCACAAAATTTTTTAGCTATTAGATAACTTACTCGTCTAGAGGAACCCGAATCCGAATCCGAATCCAAACTCGAACCTGAATCCAAATCCCGAGCACAGTTTCATTTCAGATCAGATCACTGGGAACAAGGAAGAGAGAGCATCAGTACTCCTCAAGCAGATTTCAACTTGGACGATGTGGATGCCAAGTACGAGAGAGTCTTGTGCCCGACGAACATCAAGAACATTCCCAACAACCCGAGCGCCTTCAATGTCGTGAAAAGATCCAACTGCAAATCGATATAAAAAATTTAAAGTGAAAATAACATTCGAGATAAAGCTATGGCAGTAATAAAAGATGTCCGCGGAGAAAAAGAAACTCAAACCACAAAAAGAAAGAGTCGAACCTTGAGCCAGAAGAGTGTGTAGAGCAATAAAACTGCGCCAATGCCCGCGTGGAAAAGTAAGGCAAAGGTTGCGGGAACAGATGACTTGGGGAAGCTTTTAAGGTTAGCACGAAGGCGAAGAAGCTGCAAGGACAAAAAGTACGTACACATGATAAGCATTAAATCGGAGATCAGAAAGATCGAGGCCCAGCCGAAGAGGGGAAATGGATAAATGAAGATTACCCCTGCCAAGAAGCCCAAAAGTGGGACGAGAACAATGCCAAGGAAAGCAAGGGAAAGCTCCCTGGGGGGTCGCTTCTCTGGAGCCCTAAATATGTGATTGATTTCAGTCTTAGGGCCATATCTAGAGTATGGATCGACAGGTTGTGGTGGAGGACGAGCAGCCTTTTCGGGAGCCTCCGGGAGATCTAATTCAATGTGGCCCAAATGTTGCAAGAAAGAGTTCTCCTGAATCGAATAAAGGAGCAACGATCAGACGTGTGACAGTAAAAGCAGGTCTAAATAGAGAAAAATGAACAAAATGAAACCGCTGAGTGCTACGTATAATTGGCAGATAGTATATAGTATTTACCATGGCAGAGTCTCCAACTGTAAGTTGAATATCGTAAGTTCCCGATAAATAGAATAACTTCTCGACAAGTCCAAGAAAATCCTGATAATATACCAATATAAATGTAAAGGTTAGAATTGGAAAATATTGTGGCAGAAGCACAAACAAATTTTTACATCATGGAACAGCTTATGTAGTTGCACAACTGAATTTATAATATAAGGCTCGTCAATGGGGAATGATAACTAAAAAGTGAAATGAAAAATCAATGTGCGGCTTTGGTTGGAGAAAATATGAGTTTTATACAAATCCTGCTGAAATAATCTAGTTTAAATCCGAGGAAAGATGACAGATATTAGATATAGAATACTTACTAATATAATCTCGAATTTCTTCCCAGTGTTTCCTACCAAGAAGATGTGTTCAACTCCACTCTCATGTTTAAGCTTGAGGAATGTCTGAATAAAACATGGTAATAGGAACAGATAATAAATATATATATATATATTATGTGTGTGTGCTTTCGAATAAATAATAGAAAAAACAAACCTGATGAGGTTTGAAAGCATGTCCGGAAGGAGAAGTCAGGCGAAAGGACAGCCGCAACTTTTGAAGGTGGTTAGCTGATAGAGAAACAGCATTTTCTCCCGGTAACTCCAGCCTGATTATAAGCACAGAAAAAGGTACAATGTGAGTTATAGTCCTTCATGTTTCAGTTTCACCGTAAAATTCTTACAGGTGAATATTGTAGCTAACATATAACAGTCATGTTCAGCCAACCACGAAAAAGAAAATGAGTAAATAAATTGATAAAAGGTGCAGGGAAGACCAATGTGACGAACAATTAGATAAACACATCCAAACCACCAAAACTAAAATGGGAAGGTAGACAAATCACACATAAAAATGTTATAAAAATACACTGTAGAGTTTATTTACAGTTTCTATGCTATGCAACCCTTACGATTTCCTATAAAAATATATTATTTCTTCTTCCAAAACATCGTATTCAAACCAAAACATAAAACCAAACTCCAAGTAAACAAGCCCTATATATTACAGACAGTCACATGCAAATATATATATTACTTTTTCACATGGGAAGAACAGCTTTCAAACGATGTAAACTAATCAAATATACAAATAGACACCCGCAAGAAGCATTCAGAGTTCCAAAGGAGTAAACAAATCAAACAAAAATGAATAATTAAGGATGAGCACTCTGTGCTATGAATTAGATAGAAAGTAAGGACGCACTTTTTCTGGGTTTCAACGCTGCCAAGATCACTATCAAGAACTGCAATCTCAGAAGCATCAACCTTAATGACTCCAGTAACATGAATAGGTACTTTGTTACGCCCACCAGTCACGTAGTTTTTCTTACTTTCTGGGTCATCAAATATAACCTATCAACAGAGAAGGAAACACAAGTAAATTGCAGACCTAAACAAAGTAGTCAAAGGGTGTGTTTATATATTGGATATATAAATCTTCACGTGTTACTACATGAAGAATTGAAGATCATCATATTATCTGATGTAATAAATACACCAAAGTACAATCTTTAGATGGTTTGTGTGTGAGAGAACGAGTGGGTAAGTACCTCGAAAGAAAAGACATGGCTTCCAACATCAACGCCATTTGGTAATGTTTCCAAGACATGCACTGAAGTGCTAGGATCAAACTTGAGTTTCTGCATTACACGATCCACAAGTCTCGGAAATTAAGGTGATTTAGAACTTTTATGTATGAATATTCTAAGTTCTTTGCAGCTCAATCTCAAAGCATACCTGGTCTATGACGGAGGCATCTTTCGAATTGGAGGAAAAAATCTGTCTGAGCTTGACTGAGAGAGGAGGAGGATGAGAACCCAATGCTGTACTGACCCGAACCTAAAAAATAGGGAATGTATCATAATTCATAAGCTAGAAGTAAAGCCTTGAACAGTGCAATGCCGAATGACACATTAAGCAGAACGTAATCAAACAACCAACTTTATTATCATCGATATTTTTACTAAACACCATTATACAGAAATAATCAACATTAGATTCACCAAGCAATGAAGGGTTCTACAGTATGCATGAAACCTAGACAAGAAATTGGAGAAATGAAAATGATAATTGTAAGTGTCAATCAATTTGAATGAGCAATTCGAGATAACAGACCTTTAGCTGATCTTTCTTGGAAGTGGAAAGGACAGTAGATGGTAGTGACAAAATGAGAGGAACAGAACCCCTAGTGCAACAAGAAAATGCATTATAATTACGTTAATAAAGTATAAAATTTCACAGAATAAGCTACCAAGTGATATCAGCCATTAACTTAGAAATTTTTAAGTGAAATGTGCTTCAGAAAGCATCAAAACAAAACCTGAAGACGGATAATTGTAGGCATAAGACATACCTAATGTTTTCCAAGTAAGTCAATGCATCAATTTGGTAATACAAGTCTTTGGCACTTCCAGGAACTCCAACGCCAAGGAAAAATTTAGCCAAACCCAATATTTTCTCACCTGGAAGCTGCCATTGTGAAATCGCGGGAGATCTCAAGTTAGCTAAAAGAAGTAAAAGAATCGGACATATAAACTACAATGCACGCGGTGTGCAAACATACATTTAAACTTTCAGAGGCAACTGCGGCAAAAGCTGTGATTCCACGAACTACTGATGCTGAGGCTGAAAGGGGACCCTGGTGCCCATGTGCATCAACTATTTTCTCATCAAAATAACAACTGCCATCATCTACAAACAAGAGTATATTTACATCACACAACTAGTTTCAGAAAAAAGGATATACTCTCCTGCTGTTGTCAAAAGACCATTTGATACTACCATCGAATTCAGAATCTTAAAAGTTACAACAGATATCAATATTATACTTAAAACTTAAAAGCAATACCAAAGGAGACATGCACAACAGAATCAAAGCCCCAGATAACTTGTATTGAAATTTAAACAGAAACAAATAGGTTATAGGAATTTAGAATTTGATTATTTCATGACATAATAGTTTCAAGAATTGATTAAACCATCAAGACCCTGTGCCACGAATGCAAATAGCAGCAGTATTCAAAATGGAAAAAAGTACTAAAGAAATATTTAAGTATGTATTGAGGGATAGAATGTACACAAAACCAAAAGAAGTGAAGGGGTGAAGCCAAAACACATACCATATCTTTCAATGCCATCAAAAAGCTTTACGATGTCATTTTTCAGTGTGGTAATCTGGCATGAAAAAGCAGACTCTGATCAGAATATTAAACACAGCTACCAAGATCTTACAATATGTTATATAAAGAACACATTTCCAATATACATACTTCATCGAAATATAAAAGAGAAAAAAAGAAAGAGTAAATTAACACTAAATAGAGAAAGACCATTCATGCCGCACTTTGTATGCAGAGTTTGATGACCACATGATACATTAAGGGTGTGTTTGTTTGGGGGTTTGGATTTTGAGTTGGGATTTGAATAGTAAAAATTTTGAATTTGAATAGTTGTATGATGTGATATAAATAGGTGTTGATGTGATGTTTTGAATGTAAAATTGATTTTTAGTATAATATAAAAAATGAAAAATAGGTGTTTGATTTTATGTTTTTGGGGGGAAAAAATTGGATGAACAGTAGGATTTTGTTAAAATCCTACAACCGAACACACCCTAACAAAATTACAGATCATGAAAATACAAAGTTCAGAAAGAAAAGGTGGGCAAAAATAAATTGATTATTCTAAGCAGGGCCATTGATGTAACCTACAATGACTTTTCAGTTGTTGGCTATTCTTCCTCAAGTAGAAAATTATTTTTATTAAAAAGAAAGGGTCAGGAAATGGGAGAATAGAATTAGCATAGTTTGTTCAGATGCTAATGGAATCTCAACTGAGAACTTGAGGCATCAAAACCTTTTTTCATTTATTTTGCTCCTTCAGACACATAATTTCCTGTTTTCAGGGTGGAATGAACAAACCTTTGATTTCAAACTTGAAAATAACGTTACAATCAGCAGGAAACAGGTAAGAAATAATATACTAACCAAAGATTGATCGATCTCAGAAGATGCTAAGGAAATAACTCCAGCTAGAGCTTCTAAAGCTACCCCTGCAAAATAAATGATGGTTAACAGCGTTCAACGTATAGAAAAATACAGCCCCAGTAAAGATAAACAAACAGTTCATTTGTTGAACCCAAAAGTTGTGAAACCAGAACACCCCTATTATAAAATATCAGATTTAGTACCAGCAGCATCATTACTGGAGTCGGGATTGTTGGAACTAAGGCGCCAGCGTCCATCACTCTGACTGAGAGCCTGCCAAGAAACAATGCAAGTTAAGCATATAAGAAAACTAAATGCAGCAACACCTTATGGACAGAGATAAATTATTGAGCCAAGACAGAACAATATCCACGGTTCACCTTTATAGAGCGAAAAACTTTGTCAGCATCTTCGAGATGAATGTCAGAGCCAGAAGCATCCTGATTAGAAAAAAAATACAATAAACAAAATGAAACTCTAAGCCAAATAACAGGAAAAATCAAAGATAGGAAAAAGATGCACATGGAGAAGAAATAATAAAAAGAAGAAGAAACCAGATGGTAGTTTTTAAGAATAGACATTAGTTGAACATAATATTCCCGTACAAGCAGGATGCATAAAGCTAAGATTCATTCATCAAGGAAGAACGTAGTGAAATCTGCTTACCTTTATAAGCACCAAACTCCCTATCGAATAGTAAAAGTCAAGAAGTGAATTGGCTTCTTTTAGAGAATCCTTAAGTCTAGATTCAATTCCCTGCACACAATCGAAGAAAGTTGTTAAAAAACAACTGCATTCCACTAAGTTTTAATTTAACAAAGAAAATGAGTTGAACTTAGCATACCTCAAAAGCAACATTATCCAGCTCACACTTGAGTATTCCATTTACTTTTAATGCATAGAATAAATCCTTTAAAGCTGAAGAAGTCGATGATAGGGTTTCGGCCACAGATTTACAGGCAGATGATCTTATATTAGATTTCTTTTCAATTCCAAGAACATCATATGTCCTTAGCGCCTCGTATGTATCCTCCAGGCTGAGAGAGTAGGTACAGAAATGTAAGGTGAACAATTATCTTGAAGCGAAATTGAAAAGTTCTATGCTTTTGACACAATATCAAATATTCCTAGGAGATAGTAGACAAAATGCTTGCACCAGAAGTTCTTATCCTTCCAAAAGCACGGGGAAGGAAAGTGGAATCAATAGCATATTAGCAAGTTCAATCTACATTATAAGAAGGCAAACTACCAATCATGTTTCCACAAGAGCATCAGTAAAAGCGCAAGTAATTACGAAAATGAGCTGAATTAATAAGATTTATCTACATTTGAGATACAGACATTCTTCTACAAACAAATTACAGTGTCAAGCTGGTAAAAAACTACAGGATTAAATATTCCCTCCTTCCTATGAAAAATCACAGCCAAGAACCGCCAAACTTCTTCAGATCAAAACAATACAAGATTCAAATTATAATCAACAACTTAGAGAGAGAGAGAGAGGGGAGAAAAGCGCGAATAAGGGAGAAGGCGTGAGTGGATTTAGATAGGGTTTAACAGTGACCTCCCGAAAGCCCCATCAGTGGGTAAGAAGAGCTCCGAAGCAGCAGATCGATGAGATTCCGACACAGGACTGACGATGGCCGATTCACAAATCGAAGTCAACACTAGAAGTCCTAGGATCAGAAATCCGAAATTTCCAGCCATTCCTGTAGGAATCACACAAAAAGATATCAAAATCACGGCACGCAGGTATTTGCTACGCAAACAGATCGAAAATCGGGCACCAACCTGAGCGTGGAGGAAGAAATCTCTCAAAGTCCGCGATTCACAGAGAGTGTTGAGGCGAAATGATTTTCAGCATCAGGGCGAATGACGTAATGTGAAATTCCAATTTTGCCCCTACATTCCTACAGCCTACAGGTAGGAGGGTAAGTAGCAAATCGGCCCAAAGCATTCTTTATATAGTTCTGAACCGGCGGTTCAGTAATCGAAATTGAAATCGATTTTTACACGGTTCGGTTTCGGTCTTATATTATCCGAACCGTGAACGGCGGTTCGAATCCGTTTGGACAAGTTTTTATATGGCTTAACGATATTTCTAGAAATATATACATGCATATGTGCGTAAATGCAATTACATCAACTTACCAAATTGCTATATATTTCTTCCAGACATGTTTATTTGAATTTTGTATTTAAATTAATTTTAATAAAATATATTTTATGAATATTCAAAAATAAAATTTAAAAAGAGAAAAAAAAAAAAAAAAAAAACACTCAATTCTCCTAAAATCCTTAATTCCTAAATCATTTTCCTTATCAGTCCATATTCATATACTTTTTCCATTTAGCTCTTCATTTATTCCGCATCACTCCCAATTTGTAATTATTACATATTTTTACCAATTTTACCCTCTAAATAATTTTTTATTCATATTTTTTTTCCGCCAAATACAATCCAAAATCATTAGGTAAATAATATTTAATTATATTATTTGTTTATCTATGAAACAAATCTATTTATTTTATATAAATAAATTTTTGTATATAGAATCTATGGCTTTTTAATAATTTTTTGCAGGATTTGTTACAATACATTAGTTTTTATAATAGAAAAATATTTTTTCAAATAAAAATTATTATTTTCAGCTTGTTTATTATATTACTCATACTTATATTTAATTGAAATTAATATTTTTCTTATAAATATTTTATATAATTATAATGTAAGAGTTATGAGTACTTTTGTATTATATATTATATTATTATTATTATTTCTTGTCAATTTTTTTTTTTTGTAATCTTTTATTTTATATTTAAATTAATAAAAAGTAGAAATAAATTATAAGAATTACAGTGTTGTTATTATTGTTATTATTATTTCTTGTCAATTATTATTTTTTTGTTGTAATCTTTTATTTTATATTTAAATTAATAAAAAATAGAAATAAATTATAAAAATTACAATGTAGTTGAAAAAAGAAAGAAAGAAAAATGATAAAAATAATAATAATAATAATAATAATAATAAAATGGGGGTACTATGAGGTTTCTACATTAATAGAGTGAAAAATAGAAAGTAAAAAAGATAAAATTAATGTATATAGAGTAAATAAAAATAAAAATATATAATTAGGAAGATACGTGAAAATTGTAGTTCTTTTATATCGGCCTCTATCACACCCTTTCAACATGTTCCTTCATACTCCCTCCATCACACCATCTCCGTTGTTCAATTTTTTGTGTTTATTTGACTTAACACAAACTTCGAGAAAAATATATAAAATAAAATTTTTTTTGTTAAAGAAAATAAAAAAATAATATTTTTCACTAAAAAAAACATGAACAAATTTAAATAACAACAAAAATAAAATTTAAAAAGACATTAATATATTGTATATTTTCTGAAAAACAAAAAATAAAAACAAAAACAAAATACTCGTATTCTCAAAAATATATATATATATATACTTTGCCTCACAAAATATTTAAAATATAAAATAAAATTCACTCCATCCAAACAACATCACAACTCTTCAAAATATTTTTATAATTCTCAATAATATTTAAAATATAAAACAAAATTTACTCCATCCAAACAACATCACAACTCTTCTAAATATTTTTATAATTCTCAATAAGTAATTCTAAACCTCTAAAGAAAGTAGCCTTAGTTTAAAATTTATTTCTAATTCAAAAAAATACACAAAACCAAAACATACTTTTGTTCTTTTTGTGATTTCAATAAAAATACGTAGTACTATTTTATCTCACAAAATATAATATCAAAATACTATTTACACAAAATATCAAATAAACATCGGATTTCAAATCAATTTTGTGGAAGTGCAAACCCAAATCCAAATATTTGAAAAAAGAAAACCTACACCTTATAAATCCACGTCAATTCTCCTAGTACAAAACTTTTGGACTCAGCCCAATGTGCACAATATCGTACTAATATTGAGATAATCTAATCCCATCAAATTTTAGATCACCAACCAAACAAACCCCAGGCAATTACCCAAAACACAAACAACAAAGGCAACATACAACCAAACAGACCCTCAAGGTTTTTTCATATTTAAGGTAATGTTTTTCAGTTTCAGGCAAAGAAAATTGTATAGTACAAACTGAATCAAAACATCCCAAAGAGTAACATTTATATCATCTTATCAAGTTCAAGATCAAGATTTCCGACAGAACTGATAGCCTGAGATGACGTAATTCTAAACAGCGACTTCAGAATTGACGTGCCGAACAATGTTTAATACTTGAGAGGTGATTGTTGAGTTGGCAGCAATCCGAATCGCTTCTTCAGGAGAACTCGTTGCCTAGAGAATTTATCATCAGGAGAAAAGCGCGCTGCAATGGTCAAAGAAAAGATTGTCAAGAGGAATAGTCCGGATGCTAATTTGGGGAAACAAATATATACACAGCAGAAGAACAATAACAATGTCCCGGCTTTGATGATCTACTTTATCATACGAGCTTAAAGCAAGCTTCTACAAATGGTGCTGAAAAAATGACAAACCATAATGTAATTCACCGGCTTTTTTACTCTGTTGATACAATGTGTTTGCAATATGGTGTAGTTTAAATTTATGGCTCTGTTTACACAATAGTAACTTCTTTAAAAAAATATCAAATCAAATACCTATTCTTTCTCACAACTATTTTCTCTCGCAAAATAATGCATCAAATACTAACTTTTTACTATTCCTACCTTTTTATAAAATTCCAAAAACTTCTACATATACGGAGATTAAGTCTCATCAAATATGGTGAAGCAGTTCGCAAGATCACTCATATCTTTATATTTCTTAGGTTACAAAGTACGAGTATAGAAAAATAAAGATTCAATTCAACATCGATAGATAAAAGTTACCCGGGTGGGCAGATTGAGTAGGCAAACCAAGAGGTGACTCCTTCTGCAGGAACAAAAATGCAATGGTTAATCAAGCTCAGTATGGACAAATCAAAGTGGACATATTTTGAGTCAAGGAGAATTTGAAGCGTCTAGTGGTAGCAACTAGGGTGCGCTTTCTTTCTATTTTACACAATTCCCAATATGCATCGATCATATTAAAGCTCTGTTATTTTCTATAACAAAACATTTAAAAACGACGAAAACAAATGTTTTAATAACACTTTCACGTTTAGCGGCAACTAACAATAATAACCACAAATTCTTAAATGTTAAAAGAACACAACCTAAGAATTTATCATGGCAACCATGTAGTGAACTCTGATACCAACTTAGGTGAAGACAACAAATCAACACCAAAATTGAAGACATGAAATGAATACAGTTAAGGTTAGGAGAACACTTGTGATAGCAACCATGTTGATCGAAATCATGCTAACAGGGAGAACAGAAACTATATAAAACAATTAGAACCCTTACAGCATTAGCTACAAAATATATATATATATATATATATACCTTCGTGGTGTAAACCTTGTCACCATTTTCGTTGATGTAAAATTGGAGATACATCTTCAGCAATGCCTCGCCTGCAGATGCGTTATAACAACGCCCTCAATGATATTAATACACAATTCGAATTCTTGTACAATCTAACGCGCATATAAATTGGAGAAGCAAACAAAGAGAAAATCCACAATTTCATTCCAACTGCGTAATTTAAACCTTGAATAGAGAATTTACCTACGTTTCTTCCTCGGATTCCAGGGGCTGAGTTAAAACCCTAGCAGTCGGAGAGGCGATTCGTTATTAGGGCTTCGACACTTCTCAAGAGAAGAGGAGTTGGAAAAGAAAATTGTGCGGCGGCGGCTTATGGAGTGGGGGTGTGTTTTGATTAGGGCAAAAAATTTTAATAGTGTATTTTATAAATAAATATTACTTCGTGTTAGTACTTCTTCCAAATAATAATAATATATTTAAAATTATTAAATCGTTCAGTCACACATAATTTATTCTTATATTTTTTTAGTGTTTTGCCTCATTTGCCATTTTTTTCAAAAATATATTAATAGCATTTTAAATTTTATATTTTATAATTTTTTTAATTAATATTTCATTCATTAAAATTAATTCATTTGGTTCGTCATGGGTATAAAGGTTGTGTTTGTTCGAAAGATTTGTGTGGATTTCTGTCATTCACACAAGTTTTTTATTCAAAAAATCAAATCAAATACCTATTTTTTATTTTTTATGTTATATTAAAAATTCAATTTTACATGAAAATATTACATTAATACATATTTATATTACATCATACAACTATTCAAATTTAAATTTTTTACTATTCAAATCACAGTTCAAATAGCGACGAACTAAAAGAAAAGTAAATAAAATGAAGTACATTATTAACACTAAACAAATGCAATGTTAATTCGATATTTATGTCAATGATAATAAATAACAAGTCATTACCGCCTTAAACTATTTACATACTAGTATTTATTTATTAATTAATTAATTTCGTCTTTTTATTTATATACTAGTATTTATTTATTATTTAATTATTAATTAATTAATTAATTAATCTTAAAGCTATGATTAGGGGCATGCACGTTTGTGAGTGGAGCCTCGCTTTCCCACTTTTTCCTTTTATTAGTTTATCCATCTCCTAATCTCCTATCAACTAATACAAGTATTTTTATATATATATATATATATATTATATGTTTGAGATACAATAAAGTAAATCTATTTATTTTGAATATATTTAATAAATATAAATTAATTTAATTAAATTTTTATATATAAATCAGTCAAAAATATATATATATATTTCTATCTCTACTTAATACTAAAATATTTTTATTTATACTTAAACTCCCAATTTTTTACAATAAAATTAGTTTATACTATCTGGTTCCAATTCAATGTATTATTTTACAAATTTTCAGTTGTCTTGCTCAAAAAATAATCGTATTAGTATCATTTATTTTTAAATAAATCACAAATATATTATCACATATATAAAACAAAAACATATTTCAGAAAAATGTAAAAATCACCGTGCACACTTCAATTAATTAGTAATATACTATTATTTTTTAATACAAAATTTCAAATAAACATATTCATTTGTGGCGTTACAAATAAAGTATTTAAAATAACATTTTAAAAAACAAATGAAAAACAAAAAATAAAAACACAATAAAAGACGACGATGACTACAACAACAACTACTATTATTATTATTATTATTATTATTACTTCCTCCGTCATGCAAATGTGTGTTCATTTGACCGAGCACAAGTTTTTAGTAAAAGTGAATAATAATTGTTATTTTTTTATTTTTATAGTAAAAAGAATTACAAAAATGTAATATTTTTTACTTAAAAAAAATTAGAATATTTTTTTATGATAACCCTAAGAAAAATTAGTATAGATTTAAATAGCTAGAGTATTATTACTATCTAATCCATTTTATAAATATCTATCAAACCAAAAATTTCTCGAATTCATTCAAATATAATACAAACCAAATGTGCCTTAAATAATTATTGTTACGTACGAAATTTAGAATTAGGTTAAAAGCCCAAGGTAAAAAGAAGAATGGGCCTGACAATAGGGTTGATTGAACTGGCTGAAGGACACCGTGAGGAAATCAAGGAAAATAAATTTATTTATTTATTTCTAAGGAAAATACAGGACGGAAGGACCTCAGGTCGGTAGGTCCTCAGGGCGGAAAGACCTCAGGTCGGAAGGTTTTCAGGTCGGGAGGTCCGCCAGACGGGAAGACCTCAAGTCGGAAGGTCTTCAGGTCGGGAGGCCCTCAAGATGAAAGACCTCAAGTCGGAAGGTCTTCAGGTCGGGAGGTCCGCAAGACGGAAAGACCTCAAGTCGGAAGGTCTTCAGGTCGGGAGGTCCGCAAGACGGAAAGACCTCAAGTCGGAAGGTCTTCAGGTCGAGAGGTCCGCAAGACGGGAAGACCTCAAGTCGGGAGGTCTTCAGGTCGGGAGGCCCTCAAGATGAAAGACCTCAAGTCGGACGGTCTTCAGGTCGGGAGATCCGCAAGACGGAAAGACCTCAAGTCGGAAGGTCTTCCGGTCGGGAGGTCCGCAAGACGGAAAGACCTCAAGTCGGAAGGTTTTCAAGTCGGGAGATCCTCGAGACAGAAAGTCGTTGAGATGGGATATCCGCAGGTCGGGTAAACTGTAGGTCGGATAGAAGGAGGAGTCGGACAAACACGGAGGCCTTTGATCAAATATAGGGGGCGGTTGATATGGAGGTCGGCCCAAGTGGGGTCGGGCGAAGAAGTAGGTCGGACGAAGGACGAAGTCGGGCCAAAAGAGCGGAAGGTCTGTAGTTGGCTCAAGGAGTGAAATATAGGGATTTTTGGTCTGCTGGGGACACGTGTCAGCATAAGAAAGGTTGGAAGACGGTTGAGAAGGAGACGTTGTAACCGTTCGGGTGACGGTTTTCAGTACGGTTTCCCAGGGAATATTTAAGGATTTGGATCATCATTTGGCAAGGCATCTTCAATCAACTTCAACAAAGCAAAGTCAGATTTGGGGATCACCACTTTAGATTTCAGTATTTTATTTTCCAGTTTAGTTTCTGTACGTTACAGTGTTTAGAGATTCCTAATCTCAGGCACTAATTAATCAAGTTTAAGGATATTTTCTATATCTTTGAATTTTACTTTATTTTTGTTGAAAAAATACATCAACAAATTGGCGACCACAGTGGGAGCAAGACAAAATTGCTCATTCCAATTCCGGCGATAATTTCATACGTCTTAGATCCGGCCGAATCATCGGAAGGGTCCATATGGCAGGGTCACAACCGCAAGCATCTTCGACACCGGTGGGAGAATCCGTTCCACCACCCATTGTGCCAAATGCCGGGGAAATCCCACAACCACCAACTGATTGGTGGTCTTATGTTCAACAAATGAACAACCAGCATACCTTGATTATGCAGAATATGTTGCGTGAGCAACAAACGAACATGTTGCGTGAGCAACAGAGTCAGTTGCAGAACATGATAGATCAAGCATTGTCAAGGGTTAGTCTTCAACCCACTCAAACACCACCAGGAGTGTCACCGTCCAGACCACAGGCAAATTTCGCAGGGCCATCATTCGTGGATAGTACATTCCCAAGTGCCACAAATCCCAACCGAATGGATCGGGGAAAAACTCCTTTGACTTTTCCCAACAATGTTCCACTGGGACCAAGGGTTACCAGTTCCCAGCCGAACAATACAAGGGAGGACAGGCCTGAAGGATATTTACATGATCCGATTCATATTCCTGTGCAGGATCCGTTCCAGGTTCCTGATCATCAACGCTTTCATGTAGATCATGATGAGATTGCACATATATTAAGGGATCAGTATGGATTAACTCCTCAGATGGCTAACCGCCCTGCATATCAAAGACCTTTCCCAGAAAGGATCATTCATGAACACCCTCTCCCAAGGAATTTTCGACCACCCGACTTTCATGCATTCTCAGGGGAGGACGGATCTTCCACCATAGAACATGTTGGTCGGTTCACAGCACAATTAGGAGAAGTTGGCAATAACCCTTTTTATAAGTTACAGCTGTTTGGTTTATCTCTTACTAGAACGGCGTTTTCGTGGTTTGTAAGTTTGCCTCCAGCACAAATTCAGACATGGGAAGGACTGGAGATGGCATTTCACGCTAGATTTTTTAATCCTTTACCAGTTGTTTCTTTAACTGATTTACTTGAATTGCGACAGTATCCAGAAGAAACTGCTTCACAGTTTATAGAAAGGGTGCGATTGATGAAGGGACGATGTCCTACGGTAATCAGTGAGAAAGAGATGACCAATTTAGTGGTCCGGAATATGCATACTCGTTTAAGAAAGGCACTCACTGCCCTGGATGTTGAGGATTTGGCAAGTCTTGCATCCAAGGCAGGACGTCTAGAATCTTTGTTCAGAGAGGAAGATCAGCATAACAGGCGTAATAGAGGCCAACATATGGCGAGTATGGGAACAGAAACATGCGACTTTGATTTTAATCAGTCAGAAGAGATGGCAGCCGAAATCCTTTCTGGAAAACCGTATGTATGTCCTAAATTGAAGCCAGTACCAGGATCTGAAGGAAAGGAGCAACCGACCTTTGATAGTTCGAAAGCTGATGAAATCTTTGATATCCTACTGACTGATGGGCAGATCCGTATTCCAAAGGGTCAAAGACTTGCCACTAAAGAAGAAATCAAAGGGAGACCATATTGTAAGTGGCATAATTCTTTCACACACACTACAAGTCAGTGTACTCATTTTAGGAAGGAAATTCAAAAGGCCATCAAGACAGGTCGGCTCAAATACATCACTCTAGGTGTAGACCAGCAACCGTTTCCGAATGTAACAACGGCAATGGTTGACATCCGACCAAGTTCGGAAACAAGGAAAAGTTCGGCCAACGATGGACAAAAAGGGGAACGAAACCAGCCAAGCCCCGAAACAAAAAAAGGAAGTCGGCCAAACAGCAGCCGACCGGAAGAACGACTCAAAATTTGTGAGAAGCCAGTTGCTGAAAAGTGGGACCATCCAGATGGTTCTTTTAATGTGGAGGTGAAAGAAAAGGTTTTGATACGTGATCACCCGACCAGAAAAACAGGGTCGGTCGGGAGCAATTGGGCACGAAATAAAAAGCCTTTACCAGTCGATATAGACCCTCGTTTCCCGGGTATGAATCGTACACAGATTCGCAATGCCAAACGCAGGTATGCTGCAAAGTATGGGAAAAGAGGTCCTTCAGCAGAACAACTAACCGACGAACAAAAAGCAGCCGACCACTTGGCAGGAGGTCAGTCCATTCGGATCTTTACAGAACAAACGACCAAAGAGCAGGGAATAACCATTCAG